CCCGCAACACCACCAACAGCACCTGAGCCAGAACCATTAGAACGCACCAACTCAATGCCTGAGGATCAAGAACGCCCTGGCCTTGGGCCAATGGTCAAGAAGCCGCTGCTTAACGATAATGCGGCGACCAAGTTCCGCAAGGCAGCAGCGGCGGCAGGCGCATTCAAGCCTCGTGCCGGCGGAGCTGCTGCGAAGCTCTTCAATAAGGAGACGAAAACAACCGATGAAGCAGACGGCGTCAGCGCAGTGTTTGTGCCCCAGCGGCCAACACCAAAAGAAACACCAAAAGAAACCCCTCCAGAAGAAGTCGAGAAGAAACTCGAAGAGCCCCCCAAATCCATACCAGACAGGTCATCTAAAGAGCGACTGCGCGTTAGTACCGAGGTGGTTCCGTCTGTTACAGTCTCAGGCCCAGGTGATCGCACTGTGGCTGGCGCTGTCCAAGAAGTTGAAGAACAGCCTGCTCCCCCACCTCCAGAAAAAGCAGCGTCAAGGAACATTGAGCCTGAGCCCGAGGTGCGCCGAAAGAAGCGCCGGTCCAACCAACAGATTGTCAACATATCCAAGCTTGGTATAGATCCGAATATCATCGACGAACGGGGATTGGAATTTGAGAGTCTGCTGACTGAGCTGGGATGGGGAAACAACGAGCTGTCCGCCAAGCACATCGAGTCTCTGGAGAATGACATCAAACGTGAAATCGCCCGCGTGGAGGCAGGGAGCTGGCTAAATCACCTGGAGCAGAAGGACGATCGCGTAGAGGCTGTTGAGCGCATGTTGGACCGCGCAATCGCTGAGTGCGACGAGCTTGAGGGTTTGTTAACCCTATACAACGTTGAGCTGAGCAGCTTGAACGATGATATCGCTTTCATCGAAGCACAGAGTCAGGGTCTGCAAGTACAAACTGCGAACCAGCGTTTACTGCAGCACGAACTCCAGCAGCTAGTCGACACTATCTCGATCACATCAGATCAGCTGGAATCATTGAGACGCGCTCCTATAGGCAAGATCAACGGACTCAAAGATATTGAGTTTTCTTTGGTTCTGCTTTACAAGGCACTCATTACAATCGACCCTTCTTTCGTCGCCGGAGCTCGACAAGGCACGATCAGCAGTGGACCAGGATTTGGTAATAGCGATTTGGCAACGATGCAAGCTCTGCAAGAGAAACGAGACAGGTACCTCAATGAGGGCTCCATGTTCCTCGAGAGGCTCAAGAAACATATGGAAATCACGTTCGGCGCAGCCTTCCTATCGACGAAAGATGCACTTTCGAGACTCGATGATCAGGGATCTGAGCCATCTCTGAAGAGGAACGTAGAAGCGCATGACGCAGGCCGAAACGAGTTGTGGATGTTGAGCCCAGTCATGCTGTTCGCGAAAGAAATTGACAGGGCAGCATGGGACTCACTACTACGCATGTATCAGACTCAAGCAGCGCAGGTGTATCAACAAGAGGTCCGCGACAATATCTTGGCATGGAGACGTTTCGCAAGAAAGCCCACTGGCGAGGAGCAAGAACTGCTCTTTACCGCACAGGAGAAAGAGCCGGAAACTACCTCCACATTAGGTACGGCAAGGAAGCTGACCGTTAAGCGAAGTCAGACCCTAGCTCGTGGCCTAAGATCAGCGTCTGGGGACAAAGATGGCAAGGCAAAGCCAGCGGCTCAAGATGGCAAATTCCACGCATTCAACGTCTTCGCTAGGATCCTAGAAGACACCGGTCCGGTTCTTTTGACGGAGCAGAACTTCATTACTGAATTCTTCCATGCTACTTCAACTGACTCGCTTGACTTCCCCGAGGCCGTGCAAGCCGCGCCCCCTGAAGCGCGTCGTGGCCCCAACCTCTGGATCCGCAAGCAGTTCGAGGCGGACCGAGCCATGGCAAAACATGTCATTGGTGTCATGGAGGAGATCTTTTCCTTCTGGCCCTCTGAGATTCAGAGTCTTGTGGACTGGGCTACCAAAGCTGATCCTCTGTAAGTCATATTTACGTTATACATTGCTCGCTTACTGACTATTCGTAGGCAAGGTGTAGGCATTCTTTGTGCTGTCGACCGGAAGTTGCTCGATATCGCAGAGACGGACCAGGACTTCTTGACAAGGAACCTGCGAAAGATACACGAACGTTTGCAAGGGCTGTTCAGCCGTTTCTTGGACGAGCAGATACGGGCCATTGAAGATACGAAGGTCAAGATCAAGAAGCGCAAGGGCGTCATCTCGTTCATGAAGACCTTCCCACACTTCTCCGTCGCTATCGAGAACATGTTGCCGCCTGCTTCAGAATACGGAGACAAGTTGGAAATCCGCGACATGGTCGACGAAGCGTACCAAAGAATCAACAAGGCTATGTTCGAGAGCTTGAAGGTCATCGCCAAGGAGTCGCCCACCGTCATGGCTTCCCAAGGACAGGGTGATCCTGAAGACAAGGAGGCGCTCAACTACCACATCTTACTCATCGAGAACATGAACCACTACATGGAGGAGGTTGATGCCCGTTCTGTCAATGTTCTAGAAGTCTGGAAGGGCAAGGCTCAAGACGAGTACAGCGAGCACATGAGTCTGTATGTCGATGCCGTCATCCGGAGGCCACTGGGCAAGCTGCTGGTAAGTAAACATCCTCATCCTATACCACTAAATCTAACATCATCAAGGAGTTCATCGAATCAACCGAAACCCTCCTCTCCCAACCTGGCGCAAGCGCCCAAGCCATCGCCCAACGCTCCTCCCATTCGCGCTCAGTCTTCAAGAAACTAGTCCACTCCCACGACGCCAAGGAACTTCGCAAAGGCATTGAAGCCCTCAAGAAGCGCGTCGACAAGCACTTTGGCGACGCCGACGACCCGACTATCAGCCGCGACCTCGTCTTCAAGGTCCTCAAGGAATGCGAGAAGACATACAACAAGGTATCAGAGCGCATGACGACTATCAACCAAGATGTATATAGTGGGGAAGTGGAGATTGATTGGGGTACTAAGGAGGTCGAAGCCGCGTTCAGGAGATAGAGTCTTCGGAAAAGTGGGAGTCGGCATCTTCTCGGGTTTGTCGTGTAGTGTCAATTGTATCGCTGTGTTGTTGCTGGTGTTTGTTGTTGTGTTACTAGGATTTGTGTGTTGGAGTGTTTTGCATTGACGCGTCTATGATGGAAGGTGTTGGGGATTGCATGGCTGGGTGCTGGGTTAGGTACGCGGCTTGCATGGTGTTTCGGAGCGGCGCGAGTGATTGCGAATGTATCGTTATGCCTTCGGGCTCACATCTTTGCAATCATACCTGCACTATTGAAATATCCCAAGCTTCGCACACATTCTAGACTGCAATGCAGTACGTCAACACGCATCCTTATGCACGTAAGCAAGCTCTCGTATCCTGAATGCGAAGCCCGCCGGCGTCCGAACGCACCGAGCCCTGCGCGCTATCCGGAAGCTTACCGTCGGACCCCAGTCACAAGTGGAGGGTAAGCGAGGAATGACGGCATCGATCCTGACTACGAGTCTAGATCGCCAGGCGCTTTGCAACAACGGTATGCGCCGGATGAAGCGCCGATGATTGTGTTTGTTGGGTAGGAACAGCTAGGCATCCAATGCATTGAGGTGCATAAGAGTTCCTGAAGATCCTCCCGGTCTCCGATTTGAGGGTTATATGTTGGGGTGCGCCGAAGTTTCTTCAACCGCATTTCTGATTTCGAAGCTTTGCGGCAATATGACGCTCCTGCAAACTTTACTTCGCGCAACTGCGTTCAGGAACCCGCTTCTACGTACTCTTGTTCCTTCTGTTGCGCTCGCATACGGTATTCAAGCTGCCGTCGCTGTTCCCTCCATCGCGGCGCAAACAGAACGGTACTATGACCTCTCCGGCAGCTTCACATACCTGTCCTGCACAGCGCTCAGCTTAGTCCTGCCCTACATGCGCGCCAGAGCCGCAGGCACCATCACCGGCGGTATAACCGAGTATTTCAGCGCCCAGGGCCTGGGACAGGGCACGTGGTGGTGGAGACAGGCGCTTTTGAGCGCTGCCGTGGGGATTTGGGCTACGAGATGTACGTTCGCCTGTTAACCCGCAACTCGAAGAATGAACGAAGTACTGATAATGATTTGATAGTGGGTTCATATCTCTACAAACGCATATCCAGCGACGAAGGAAAAGACTCGCGTTTCGACTCCATCCGGACCTCCCCACCCAAATTCCTCGTCGCCTTCTTCGCTCAGGCAACATGGGTCTCCCTCTGCACTCTCCCCGTCATTCTAGTAAACTCCGTTCCTCGTTCTGCTTACGCAACCTCACTCCTCGGGCAAGCCGTATCCTCAAAACCATACCTAACAGACATCCTCGGTCTCGCCATCTTCGTCTTCGGCCTTACCTTCGAAGTCGTCGCCGACAGACAAAAAGACACCTGGGTCCAAGGCAAAAAGCAAAAGAAACATTCCGAAGAGTTCCTCACACACGGCCTGTGGAGTAAATCTCGGCATCCGAATTACTTCGGTGAGGCGACGCTGTGGAGTGGTATTGCGATTGCGGCGGCGGGGTTGCTGGTTAGGCAGCCGGCGCAGGCGGCGTTGGGGTTGAGCGGGGGCGTTGGGGGACAGGTGCTTGTGGCGGGTATGTGTGCGGCTAGTCCGGCTTTTGTGAGCTTTTTGTTGCTCAAGGTTAGTGGGGTGCCGTTGAGTGAGGATAAGTATGATAAGAGGTATGGGGAGAGGAAGGATTATCAGAAGTGGAAGAGGGAGACGCCGATGTTTGTGCCGAAGATTTGGTAAGCATCGACGGCCAGATGGCTTTTTGAAGAGCTGGAACCGGTCGGAGTTCTCAACTGCTGTGAGATCATGAGTTGCGATGGCTAGGCATGGGCTATAAGAGACAAATGTTATCATTGAAGACCTGCTTCTGGACGATATGAAAACCAACTCCGCAACAAGCAGACTATTACGAATTTTGTACATCAAGAAGACTATCCACATGGCGGCATTGGTAACCGGCCTTCGTAAAAGTCTTTGCTCTTCACCCTAAACCTGTATTTCCGAGAGTGTCAGTTCTTCGAAGCCATGAAGCGGCTCTTCCGTATGATGTTCAACCTCCGACCACTCGATAAGCCGCTGTTCAAAGTCGAAGTCTGTTCCGTACGCTTCGTGGATATCAAGACAGATTTGTTCGACATCCGCGTTGGGATCGACATCAAAGTATGTGAGCCTCTTCACATGTGAAGACACAAGTCCGCCCTTTGGAACACTGCGTAATCGAGTGCTGTAATAAGCGCGTACTTTCGGCGCACTGATTGCACGAGGTTGCTCCAAGCGGTCGTATCTTCGTTGGATGTATTGATCCGGTGGAGCGTAACGGCGAGATGAAGGGTATCCGCTTGCTTGCAGAGGCAATCTGCTCAGGTCGATCTTCTCATGGACTAAAGGCCTACGGTTAGGTCGGATCCACGGTGAACGATGGGCCATCTCTGTGTGGAGGGTTTCTTCTGGGGTGTCTTCTGGGATGTCATAGCACTTTACGCTATACCAGCCGTGCTTATCCTTCAAAGCAAACTTCACCTCCTCTGCAAACCGATTCCACGCGACTCTTGTGTACAGGTCGCGCGCCGGATATGTGCGCTTCATGACCTCAACGCACGAACGCAGACTGTACGGTTCCATTCCTTCACGATGGGAATCCTCGTCCGTTTCCTCTCCCACCCGGACGCTTCCCCCAGTTGTAGCATCGCATACCGAGTTCACGTACTTTGGACGCACTCTCTTTGTGCTTCCATACATGCGGAACCACCATTCGTTCCATTTATCGTACCATTGGTGGATTCTGGGGACTGCATCGACCAAGGGGGGCAATATTTCGGATTGCCAAAAACCATAAGGTAATTGAATAGGATGACCGCTACGAATGCATTCGAGTTGGTGTCGGCGTAGTGCCTCCCAATGGTAGATTTCTGGTAGATCGCTGCAGTCGATGGAATCCGTAACGTATACACGGTGAACAAAGATAAAATGCCGCCAGTCTTGTTCGTCTAACACATCGAAGAACACCTCGATCATGCGTACAACTTGGCGGAGAGTACTGAGCACAGTGGGCTTGACGCCTGTTGCAGAATTAGCACAGCACAAGATGAGCAAGGACTTCGAAGACAAACCTGTGTCCGCATCGGCAACTGGGTCGGGTGAAGCAGAGCCATCCTTGTCCGGAGAGAACATGGCTTATCGCTGTACGTGCTGTATTTAGTCCGTCTCTTTGCGGGATACTGAGGTCTAGCTCGTGCCAACTTCGGGAAGTAGAAAAGCTACCTGGGTATGGTTAATTCGTACTAGTGATGCTGGGTAGGTAGGACTTGAGCATCGAGTAACTGGCCTCGATGGGTCGTACATATACCTAGGCACCGTCCGTTGAGGTAATGGTAGCATCTAAGCCAGGCAGACCCTTTGCGCCTGCTGCCTAAAGTGCGCGTGTGTTGAAACCAGAGGCGTTTTTCTTGGCAGCGGTTAAGTATTCGTTGGCCAACGCCAGGTCACTGCATGATACGGAATGAGCCAATCGGGATGTTTGAGCACCTCGTCGTTGAATCTACGGCTCTGGACCGCCGCGTCAGTGCGTGGTGCTCATGGAAGTCCTATGGCCGATGATTATACCAGATACTGGATGTTTTACGTTCTTTTCAAGTTCCGCGTCGGGTCGCGGCACATCAGATGATGTACGGTGAGGAATAACTGCGGCCAAAGCCTTCGATCAACACGCAATAAGCCTGATGAAGACTACCTGAGAACACGATGCTGCACATTGAGCACATAAATCTCCCAAACGGCTGGAACATTTTCCGATATTAGTTGATGTAGTCACTGCAGCCTTTGACTGATCATGCGACATCGTATATGAGGCATGGCGTGCGTTCGGTCAATGAATTAGGTAGGTACAGATGAAGCCGAACGGCTGATGGTGAAGCGAGACCACGTGGCACCTTGAATAACGGACAAGGGTTGCTGCAGGTATCAGGATCAGAGATCTGCACTCGGATGGCGACCAATAAAGCTGGCAATCACTCAGCGGTGCAGACCGATATCAGCGACTAGGCAAACCCTTCTCTAGCTAGTGCGATAAAGCCGATAGTTGTCAGAGTTGACATTACTTCGCTTGGAAAGTCTCATATGGCTCCACGACTACCTAGGTATCATCTCGCAAGAGCACCTTCCACATGTTCCAGTCGTCAGGGCTGTCTTACAATCGCGACACGTGTCTGCAAGGTCGTACCGCACCGAGGTACCTTAGAACCCCAGTATGCCCACGCGTTCATTCGAACTTCCTATATTCAGTTCTTAGGAGCCTTCTCTACCTTTTGTAAGGCTGCCTGGCTCATCACTCCAGCTTCCACCAGTGCTGCGACTGCATCGCGAATCCACGTCTGACAGTTCCGTATCTCCACCTTCTTTCTCGGTACCTACCCCATCCAGTCAATCAGCCATTCAATAAACGACTTAGACATAAAAGTCTCACCTTACTATCCGCAGCAACCAAACTCGGTCCCGGCGGCTTTACACCCAGCACAACCTCCTCAAGCCTATCCCTCGCAACCTGGTCAACAGACCACTTCCCATCACCCGTTACGTCAACGACATGCTCGTCTGCAACGTCACCCAAGGAGATGAGTTGGTGCCGCCGGCCATCAGCGCCAAGCTCGTAGTTGCGTTCAAACTCTATGCTAAACCCGCTTGCTGCGTCGCCAGTTGCGTTGAGATACGTTCCGGTTTGAGGGTCGCTAAACGAGAGGTGCGGGATCCAGAGACCCCAGTGCGCGGGGAAGAGAGGGGAGTTGAAGACGATGAGGTAGATGGGCCGGGGCATCTTCTAATTTTTGGGTTTGGGATGTGGAAGGATTGGTGTTGAGTGTGTGGTCGGAGGTTTTGCTGGCAAGCAAGGGGGTGCGCAGCGCTAATGCACTGTGCCGCCCCCGCGATCAGCGTTGCAGACTGCAGACCTGGATGTGTCAGACATGCTAGGCATCAGCGTTGTACTTGTATACAACAAGGATGATTGAAAAGATGGTTGTCAGTAAGTTAACTCGCATCTCTAATGTGTTGCGTAGACACTCAAAAGCGGCTTTCCGAGTTTCGCAACATGCCGGTCTTGAGCCTACCAGACTGGCTTCGCATGTATGTATTCCGCAGTACTTGGTATACTATATTAACAGTACCCAGTATCCTCTTAGCTCTTACCCTAGCCTCTTTCATACCACAACTCTATCGCACTATTGGCAGAAAGAACAGTTCGGGCATCTCAACAAATTACCTGCTGTTTAATCTCATCTCAGCAACTGAGCAATTCGCCTTCACGTTCTTCTACATCGTAGATAGTATCCGAGAAGACAAAGGTTTCCACCGCGAGCCCGTAACCATGGGAAATTGGATCGATCTCGCGCAAACAGTTCTAGTATTGTTGTACTGGCTAACATTGTATGCGCCCGTTTGTTCCCTTCACCCCCAGTTCGAATAGCACAGGCACTGATCATCCCCGCCCGTATAGAACATTGCTATATCTCCACTACCCCTCCACCTACCGCGACGTCTCAACAGCTTCCGCCATAACAGCCTACACAATATATTTCTTCATACTAATCTTCCCCATCATCCTCGATGCCTTCTACGCTAACGATATTTTCTGGTTTACCCACCTCATGTTCGCCTGGGCATGGCATAGCGCACACATCCTCTGCGTTAGTTGGATCGTACTCGGTCTGGGTATCGCGTCGTTTTTCTGGCAGGCGAGAACGATTCGTGCCGAAAAGAATGAGGAAGAGGAGGGGGACCAGAACGAGGGGAAGGAGGAGGCGCTGAGTAGAGTCGCGCTTGCAATGCAGGCGGTGGTGTTTGGCGTTATGGGCGTAGTATGGGGGCTAACCGTTGAGATGCCTTCGCGGTGGGAGTGGTACAACGGGTTTTTGGGGTGGTGGGGTGGCTGGTATCATTATTCGGGCTGGCTTGCTGTTGGTTATGTGGTGTTTGCGGGCGTACAGGCCGGGTTGCTTTGGGAGGTGACACGGAGTTGCAAGGCAGGAGATGGGGGTAGTGATGGTGAGAGGGAGCCGTTGCTGCACGCATGAAGGCATGTACGTAGCTTGTACTAGGGAACAGTGAACATCTGTGCTATAGTCTATATTGGGGTGAGATAGATGTTCATGAATTCATGAAGCAATGAAGACTTTTGTGTCTTTCGTTGAAGCAGATGTAAAATTGATACCTTTTTGAATGAAGGCTTACTGAACGGAGTGCTCTTTGCCATCTCCTCTGCATGTCACAGTTCGTTCGCTGACAGCTAAGTTTTGTCTTCCGATCATCAAACGCCTGCTTCCATACCCAGCAACTCCATCATGAACCGCTTGCACTTTTACCGAATAGCGTTACGTCTGCCTCACTCCTCTCGTTCTTCATCATCGTCGTCACCCCCCATCTTGCTATCCAGCATCAACTCTTCTTCCTGAGCCACCTGCAAAGCTTCCCTCCTCGCCCTCTCCTCCTCCGTAACCACCGGCGTAGCAACGCGCTCCCTCCGCGCAATAACATTTCCACACCACTTGATAGCCTCATTCCAAGCCCCCTGCATCTCCATATCATCGATCAGCACCCCGCGCCCCTTCTCTTCTCCCTTCCCATCAACACCCTTGATCAACTCCGGCAACCCTGCAACGACCAAATCCCTAAAGAACCACCAGCTGGGCAGGAAGTTCAACTTAGCCAGCGCGGCCAACTTGAGGGGCGAGAACATGGCGCTGTACTGGCAGGCGCGCTGGAGCATGACGACGTGTTTGAACGCGATTTGCCACATTGTGTGAGCTATATTGTCGATGTGAGTGGATGTTATGGGGGTGGAGAGGTTGGATGGGAGGAGCGTTGGCTGGGTTTGGAGGACGTGGCGGAGGAGGTTCTTCATCAGCTGGGAGGACTGAGCTGATTGGGCAGCGGTGGCAGACAGTGGCGCGGGTGGCTGTTGCGTGGTGAGTGTAGTGGAAGTGGACTTTCCTGGCGATGTGACTGCGGCGTAATGACAGATCTGGGATGGTATTAGCATGTAGTCACCTAGGTATTCCGTGTCATGTACTTCGTTCTTCACCTCCTCGATCTTCTGCTTCTTCGGCAGGGACTCGTCTCTGGTCTCTGCCTGAGCAGTACGCTTGTCCGCTCCTAAGGACTTGATCTGGACATCAGCCATCTTCGGTGAAATTCCCTACATTATTGTCAGTCTCGCTCCTGAGAACATCCCTGGCGGCACGCCAACCTAGGGAAAAACTGAACAGCCTGGAGCCTACGTTGACGTTGGGTCCCCTACTTGGCAAGGTTTTAGGTCAACGTAGTCTGCAGACCTGTTCAGTTTTTTTCTTGAATGAGGTGGCGGTTCATCTCACCTCGGCCTTGATCTTCCTCTTATTGTCCACCATAACCGTCGGCTTCACAGCAGAGATTTTACGCTGCTGCTGGACAACAACCTTCGGCGAGCTTTGCGCATTCGAGTTTTTGCGCTGCTGCTGAAGTTTTGGAACGGCTTGGGAAACGGATGTTTTGCGCTGCTGCTGGGACTTTGCGGGGACTTTGGGGCCTGGTGTGGGAGTGATGGGGCTCTGTCATTGTTAGAATCCTGCTTGTGGTTGTTCATGCTGTGGAAGCTCAACTCACCTTCCTTGCTGTAGGAGCCTTTTGGCTGATAGCCATAGTGATACCCGGCATCTTTTAGGCACGATGGTGTTGTAGTCGAAGAGGATGTTGGGAAACTTGATAAGACGCGTAGAGGACCTGGAAGGTCGGCGTGATAAGCGCGTTGTTTGCGAAAGACGGTTTGAACAAAAAGGGCGAGGTGAAATAGCGTGATATCAAGCGTGGAAACGCGTGGTGAACGTGAGAGTGAGTGTGGACTAGTAAGACAAGCCAGGGTGAGTGCCCACAAAGGGACAAGACGTGAAGTAGCCTTGACGTCGTAATGGCCTCAAAGAGGAGCTCAACTGTTTGGTCGACGTTGTTCCCGGTACCTAAAGGTGACGATCACATGTCAAGGTGAGAGAGCGGACGCTATAGTGCCTTGATGATGGGAACGAGGAGAAAGAGACAAACGTGGGCCTGGGAAGACGGCATCAGCTTGCGATTGCACTGGATCACGACATTCTGCGGTCGCGTAGTTCAGACGATGAAAAGAGTACGAAGACATGGATAGATATGAA